GACTAAATGTTTGTGTTTTTGTGTTAAAATTTGAAATCATTCTGGAACAAAAAAAGCATAATTTATATTTTTTTCCTAATATTTTATGGTGGTTATGAGATCAGTCAAATTGACCAACCCCGTATAGAGTTAGAGTAGGGAAAATATAAAGATTTACTGAAAACAAATATTTGAAATGTATTTAAGAGGTTGTAGAAATTACACAAATGATATTTGAGATTTTTGGGACGAAGAACAGTTTTGTAATCATAACTTGAAAATCCCCTCGAACTCGGACTAGTAAAGAAACAGACTCAATATATTCACAAACAAATCTTTAGAAAAATACTTCATTATAAAATCTGATATTTTTGTGTACAAAATACTTGAAAAGTTTACTAAAAGTCTACCAAATTTTGTGAAGATACACATACTGCATTACAAGTTATAGTATAAATATTTAACATGTGCAAATGTATATACAAACTAGTGTATTTTATATTGAACCCATCGTGAAAGGGTTAACTCAATTTTTTGTTTATGTAAAGCCTCCCCCACTGTGATAAATTGCTTTACAGCTACAATTAGAGTATACAAAATTTGAAAACTATTAGTTTTTAAGAATAAACAGTGTATAATTATCTGTTACATTATACATTTATTCTAGAAGAAAAAAAGGGTAATTCAGATTTATTTCATATCGTTTGTTATGTGGTGGTGGTCATTTAAGATAAACTTTTAACATAAATTGAAACATTGAAGTTTTATTATTGTAATCTCAAGTTTTTGTTTAATGTTAAAATTAATGTAAACATTTCTATAACAAATTATTTTAAACTTTTGTGGCATCTGTTGAATGCTGTAGTGTCATAATCATATTTATGTGAGTGTAATTTGATTATTCATATTTTATTATTAGTATATGTATATCAATGAAGCTTACAATCACTGAAACACAGTGTTTACAAAGAATTGTATGTTATCTATGGTAACGAAACAAGGATAAATGCTTAGATCTTATAATTCCACTTCCACCACTAGTGGTATTCTGTGTGATATCACCTGTATGATGAAATGTTATATCACCAGTATGATGATGAGTTGCTTGGAATTTTATAGACCCAAGTTCATGTGTATTAGCTGAAGAAGCTTGTAACATGTCTCTGTAACCGCTTTTGTAGACCCAAGTTCTATGGGAAGTCAGAACTTTAGTTGTGTGTTGGGGGGTCACTTCTGGTGGCAAGCAATTTAACTTGACTATTTCTAAACCAGTAATGGAGTAGCCTCTTCTCTGTCTCTCTCTGTTTTTTTTTTATTGCTAGAATCATGATATGATTTTTCCTTGCTTTACTGATACTTTTCAACAGTATAGATACCATTTCTATGTAAATCTAACATGAATTGCCTTTCATGCTTTGGAAATTCCTTTAATGGAATTTTCCCAAATAGTGTAAATTATGGGCATCATTCAGAGTTGTAATTCACAAAACTTCAACTAAGTTTTAACAAGAGGGTCAGAACTTTTAACCTTTGCAGTCACAGGGATGGCTAGAGGCCAGGATGATTGGTCATGCGAATTGTTACCATAGGCCATGAACAACCTTATGTGTAATTTTTCATTGAAAAGTATTAGATAACTTCTCACCATTATACACTTTGAGAAAAAAGCTGATCTTTAAGTCTATGTGCATGGAGTTGTTTCATTAGACCAAGCATGTATTAATATGCACTGTAATTTTAAATTTACTACGTGTATCTTCTTTAAATTTGGTAAGCTTTTAGTATGCATTAAAAGTATATCAGACACAAAAGATCAGAATTTGTGATGAAGTATTCTTTATAAAGATTTGCCTGTGAATTTATTGAGTCAGTGTGACTCGGACTCTGGCTGGTCTAAGTGCAAGGTTAAGGGTAAAATACATTTTTTAATGTTACAACTTTTATATTTCATATGCATATCCTTTAGAAACTCCTACATAAATATCAAAAATTGTTGTCAGTAAAACTCTGTTTTTATGTTATTTTTTCTATTCTAACACTAATTGTATATGGGCTTAAACAAGTGGTCTGAGAAAAATTTGTGTTCACGATTTGCAAACTGTTCAGTAACTAGGCATCATATGGTACAAAGAAGCACATTCAAAATAACCGATCAATGGCCTTGACACCAGAATGTAATTTAATAACCTTGTTTGTGGTTTTCAATACATTACAAGTATTTTATAGATATCTAAAATAATCAGCAGATTCAAGAGGTGGTTTACAAGAGTAAATTGAAAACAGACAAGGAAGGAATACTTGAACACAAACAAATTACAATGAAACAAAAATGTTTCATTCCCTATGCTTGTACAGTTGTGCTTTTTTGTTTTTTAACTGCTGATTGGTTCTTACATACATTTTTGTAGACTTCTTCAGCTACTGGAGCTGTAGAGAGAGACCAAGGTTTATAGTTTAATACTCAGTAATCTATTATTATGTATGTCAACAACTATTCCTATTATACATAGTCAGGGGTAGTTAACCCTGTAACACCCCTCAACTTTAGCGTAACCCAAACCCCAGAGAGTAGATGATACAAATATAAAATCAATCATATATAAGCCATTGACTAAGGTAAATGATTAGCACACACTTATGACCTTTCACATATTTTTAAAGAGGATTCCAACTAACTAAATGTGGAACATTTGCACACAAATTTTTAAAAGTTTGTCTAAATAAAGATATGTTTGTTTCTAGTTAGAGAATGTAAAACATAATAGTTTTTCTGCTGCAATAGTATTTTGTAATATTTAGATATTTTTTTCTTTGCGAGAAGTTCACTGAATCTTCTGTTTTAAAATCTTGTAGAGACTTGCATGAAAAGAGTTAATTCAATCTGTTAACTCTTTTCATAAGAGATTCAAGAGATTTAACATTTGTTGAAATTTTTATTGCAGAAATTTCACAAATAAAGCTGAAAGAAGCTTTATTATGCTTATTCTTTTTTTAAATTTGTTGGGAAGGTTAACCATTTGTATATATATATATACAAGAAAATAGACCTGCAACATCTATGGAAAAATAAAGTGTAATAAATATTAAAAATGTGCTAACTATTAAACTTCATATGGTATATACTGTAACATTGTGTAAGGATTAACAAATTTTAGCATATATTTGTCTTACATTTTGATACAACAATCAGGGTGAAGTCTTTGTGTTTGTTTTTAATATTGGCTCACTTTTTCAGCTGTGTCAAGGCAGCATTATTACCTTACTCATCTGACATGCCCACAGTTTGTAGTACACGTTTGTATAATAACCTCCAGAAACCAACGTTTGGTGAATCCTTTCGGTTTTTCTCCCACTCTCAAAACTTTTCTCAAAAACCCTTCAGGTGTATCTTTGGTCTGTCAGTCCACATGGTGATGAAGAATGCTTGGTGAGTAGAAAAAACATAAAGTGTATTTATAATTAAACGTGCTGGATCAAAGGCTTGAATAAAAGCATGAAATTAACAAAATAACAGTAAACACTTAGAATAAATAAAATTAAATACACAATAATAAAGTCAGCAATATGAAGTATAAGTTAGGAAATTAAACATAAAAACTACTAAGACTTTTGTTTAAATGAGTTTGTGATAACTCACATTAATAAGATTGAGCTTTTGTTAGTTTATTTTGTTTTGATTTTTTTAATGTAGTAAATAAATATCGGGTATTCATTAAATTTTCATTTTTAGCTTTGGGTTAAAGCATCACTTTATATAGACTACCAATTTGCTGAAATAAGTTTTCTAATGAATTCATAATAAATTGTGAAATTAATTGTAAACCTTATGTAACTAGAATATACAAAGAAATATTACAGTGAGATTTAAAAAACTTAAAATTATAGAACAAAGGAAGGTTCTTCATTAATCCAAAAGCAAATATTTTTACTTGTCCCATATACATATAATTCATTAACATGTTTTATTAATCAGGGGAGTGCTCAAGTGAGCCTTGCAGATTTCAATCCAGACCAGACACTTGCAAAATGGTACAACATTTTAAGTTTTCGTTTTATGCAGTCAGAGTCTCTTTCTGAACGAAATAATCAGGTTTGTAATCAGAAGAAAGCTAGATGTAAGGTGAGGATACAATCTGAAAATGTAGCAAGATGTAGGATAAGACTTATCCTGGACCAAGGACTTTGGTCAACCATGGTGAGAACAATGTTTACATTCTTCTATCCATCCCTGGGACCAAGAGACTGATAAAAAGCTGAGGATACCACAGTTACTTCAACTTCTATTGATTACATCCTACTTGCATCAACACAGGATCGCAAAGGGAGGTCATGGTGGAAATGACCAGTCTGGACTTTGCAAGCCCATGTAACCTAGACAGTCAGGAGCCTTTCTGAACAACAGGGCACACTTTCAACAATCTGAGGCTATGTCACGATAAGAGTTTGATGCAAAAAGCAATGGTGATATGAATCCCACTAAATTTCTGGAATATGATAATAATATTGCTTCATTCATCAGATTCTCTGAACTGAAGAAGAATGAGGAAGGCCTCCCTCAAACACTGATGGTGTCTCAGCTGTACAGCAGGAAAGACAATGGAACTTGTCTGTGTCATTTTGCAATGGTTAACCTGCTACTGTTTAAAAGTATAGCTCAACAGGGATATACTCAAGTTGTGCATTAGATTTGACCATACTGGGAATCAAGTGATCAATGTACTTAGTAGAGTTTAAAGCTCAAAAGCATGGTTCCCATAAATTGCATATAAAGTCATTTCTGAACTGTTCATGGGCCAAGTGTGTACCCATTCAGTCTGCTGTTCATGGGTCAAGTGTGTACCAGTTCAGTCTGCTGTTCATGGGTCAAGTGTGTACTCGTTCAGTCTGCTGTTCATGGGCCAAGTGTGTACCCGTTCAGTCTGCTATTCATGGGCCAAGTGTGTACCCGTTCAGTCTTTTGTTCATAGGCCAAGTGTGTACCCATTCAGTCTGCTCTTCATGGGCCAAGTGTGTACCCGTTCAGTCTGCTGTTCATAGATCAAGTATGTACCCGTTCAGTCTGCTGTTCATGGGCCAAGTATGTACCCATTCAGTCTGCTGTTCATGGGCCAAGTATGTACCCATTCAGTCTGCTGTTCATGGGCCAAGTATGTACCCTTTCAGTCTGCTGTCTATTTGGTGTTGAATGACACTGAGTTGTAACTCACATTTTGTACAAATGAATCTGACTGACAGTTTCCACGGTAAGTCTATCTTCAAGGCACCAATCTATGAACCGAGACGACAACTTTCTTTTAATCAATAAAATTGCCAGGACATGCCATTTCACCTTGTATAGGTTGTCACTGTTACCTGTGTTCATTTGTTTAAATGGTGGCTTCTCTCAGACTGGATAATACTTCTGTTGTATAAGCCCTGGATTCAGTGAAGCTGTTGGTTAAACTAGGGGCTGTAATGGACTCTTGAGGCTGTTTCAGAGTAGAATCAGCCATTGTTATCAGCTTTTTTTTGTGTGTGTGATACAGAGCTTAGCTCGAAATGACCACCTTAAAGTGTGTTGCAATACAAACAGCCCCAGGTTCATTCGTCATATCTACATTGAACTTGCTTATGGGAATCTTGTCATGATCAGTTGGAGATATGCAGACTGAATGGGTACACACTTGGCCCATGAACAGTAGACTGAACAGGTACATACTTGGCCCTTGAACAGCAGACGGAACGGGTACATACTGAGGAGAAGTTTTTGGTATCTCCGAAGATGCAAATAGCATTCCATCAGGTACTACAGGTGCATTAAAATACTTTGATGCAGTCTGCTTCAGTGGCAAATCCAACTTATGAAACAGTTTGAGTGTTGGTCTGTAACTATGAGTATATTTCTATTGAATTCCCAATTTAGATTGCTAAGGGGAAGGGAGATAGAACAGACAGCCATGTAACCATCATAGTATTAGCGACACCGAAAATTAAAATCATGGACACTATGTGGCAGTTAAGACCATCACAGTAGTAGCAACAATGAACCACATATGACTGATGAAAATTCTGTTTGGGGACGGACACCATAAATGATCCATTTGGAACTCTGTGAAGAATATCTGAATCACAGCCTGAGCATACTGTGCATTAAAGTGAAAATAGGACTGACATGACAAGTATAACATCCTATGTTTGTATAAACAGCTTTCAATGTAGGATTGTATATATCACTAAGAACTGAGCTATAAGACATGAATTACTTTGGGCCTTGCATAATGGAAGGCCAGGAAGACACCAAGGAGTGGGATAGAGTGTCACAAATCACATTCATTTGGAGCTTTTTGTCTTCATAAAACATCAGAAGAGTTGAAGAAGAATCAAACATTGGGTTGCACAGTACACCACCATCATGACATACAGTAAGGTGTTATCCTACTCGGTTCATTCATGGTTTAAAAACATCTCATCAGACTGACAACAGTAATGTGAAGTGTACCTTCTCACAACACCCATCCCTTGACAACTGATTATTGAACACAATCTTTCCTGGTGTTCCAAATTGTGTTATTTGTTGTTCAGACAGTTGACAGACTGCTCTATCTACCAGTGGATGTGCTTGAACCAATTTGTTGAAATGTTCAATAATGACCGGTGCGTAACAGCTGTCCTTGCAGAGGATCAGCTATATCTAGTGTGGCTCTCTCTACAAGTGAAGTAACACCCCTCTCTGCCAGAGTTTTTTCTGTCATGTGGCTGGTATTCACTTGGGCAGTGCACGTGTTGAAGTATATACACTGTTTTTAACCCTTTTGTGTGAAAGTGGACAAAAACAGCTTCTGTGCATTTACAATGGTGTTTATTGCCTATCAATGGGGATAAGCACAAGTTTTTACACCCTTTCACATCCTGTTCACAAGAACTAACCAAATGCAGAAAACTGCACAAACATTTTGAAAAGCTTGTTTTACTTCTAATGTATGTAAATAAATAAGTATTGTTTGATATGTATTTGTGAGAGAAATATGACAGTTTTCTTTGTCCCATAGCCTTTTTGCATTTGAACCTTAAATGTTAACACCTGAAGTTAGTGTATCTACCAAATAACGATTTCTTGTGATCAACTTGTTAGACTACAAGTATTATGCTGTAATACTTATAGAAACCAAATAACTTTCATTCTGTTACTATTTTGTTGTTTCATGTCTGACATTTGGCTGTTGATACAAATTCATGTGCATCAAGTGATGTAACCAATCCACATATTCCTCTGGACATTTCATTGTATCTGCAATTGCTCATTGGATTTTAATTCTTATGACTGTATAGAAATGGAATAAAGTATGCTACTTATATTTCACAGATAATATAAAAGAGTGAGTGACCTGATGATTAAAAAACATTTTAACATACATTTCTCTTTACATCTTTCACATTTTGGTAAAAATTATGGAAAGTTCTTCATATAGTTGATCCTAGTGTATGATAAGGTGCTGTTATTGTTGTAATTTTCTATCTGAAAATAAAATTGGCAGAAATTATGCACACTAATCTTTACTCACTTCTATGTACAAACAACTATAGGAAGAAACACAAAAAATGTGTAACTGTTTTGGAGGTTTCTGAAGTTTCTCTTCTATAGCTTATGCTTTATTCAAAAATGAATTAGCTTAAAAACAACAAAAAATACAAATTTTTTCCCCAGTATTTCAGAGATCAATGGCTTCCCTCTTTTATGGCATGTTAAATGAAAGGTTCTTAGGTACCATTGTCTAATATTTAAGTACTAAACCCTTGTTCATAGTTTGTCTAATATTTAAGTACAAAACCCTCGTACATAGTTTGTCTAATATTTAAGTACAAAACCCTCGTACGTTCTTTAGAAAATTTTATGAGATCCATTATCTCTTCTGTTAACTTTTGTTGCTAAGATTCAAGAAACTAATATTCTTTGGAGTTTGCTAGTACTTAATATTTTGTGTGCTGTCAGTGATTAATGTTCTTCAGTGGTAAACAAAATATATTTTTACTTATTTGTTACTTGTATTAATGTGAAATGCAAAGCATACATAAAAAAACAAAGGTATTAATGAGTGGTTTATTCCCAAAAAAAAGTTGATAATTTTACACGACCATTAACTTGTATTTTGATATAATTCTATATGTAAATGCTTAGTGAGATGGTATTGTTATCATCTATAATTAAAAGTTGGGCTGATACTAATCTTCTATGGCCTTTGGGATGATAAAGTTATTGGATGGGAAATAAAAATTATACAAAACTGTTTGTGCAGTTGTGAATATTGTTTAAGATGTCTAACATCAGTTTGATCTTTGATACACAAATGAGACACTGGAAAAGATAAATATTGAAACCTTAAACCTCCACAACTGTATACATTTTAGTAGGGGGACTAACCCTTGGAGAAAGCTACAGAAAAAATTCTCAAACTGTGAATTAAAAATGAATTAATAATGTAACATTTTTAACTATAAATTTGCTTATGTATATATTGAGTATTATTAAAATGATGAACCTTCAACTGACAGCTATCCTCCACAGTAATACACCACACATGCTACTGTTCGGAGACTAGCTTTATGACTTGTTTTACATTTAAACCAAAATGGTCTATTTTTTAAAACTACAGGCTCAAACAGAAATATTATACACTTAAAATCTCTGAATAAAGTTTAACTGTATTTTCTTATGCTTGCAATCTCTCTTGATTGTATGCAATTCAGCATATTTTTGAGTCATTATGAATGTGTGTGATTTCTAAGAAACTTAAAACAGTCTTTATACAATATTTAACACAGATGAAATTCTGAGAAAATTGATAATATTATAACACTCATAGTTTGGACTAGGACTAGGCAAATGTGTGCTACTAGTTTTCTTTTTTCCTATCTTTTATAGGTGGCTCATCTTGGTGCAAGACTTGCAGAGATGGCCCGACTGAGGTTCCAATACGATGAAAAACGAAAGCATATCCATAGGATTCAGCAGGAGATGGCAGACTTGGAGGATAAGATGGCTCCGGGGCAGCTTGAATCTGATAAAGATAGGTAAAAACCATACTCTTGTCTACAGGGAGGCAAGAACCTCTTTAGAATAAGAACAGTCAAGCAAATCAGCTAAATTAGCTCCATTTGTGTCAAAGGTTGTTTTTTGTTTTTCATCACTGTATTTCTTCTCATCAAAAAATGCTGCTACTTCTTTTTTACTGCTTTTTTCAAGCATGTTATTTTTAACAGTTTATAAACATTTTATTTTGTCATTTTGATTATTTACCTTCATATGATAGATTGAAAATAGCATCTGCAGTTTTAACCAATTCTGTTAAAAAAGAAAGAAAGAGCCTTGTCTCAAATTTCACATTTTATAACTTGTTTGCTTTTCATTAAATATCTTATCTATTTCTTGAAGCAGTTGTGGATCACAAAGAATAGAATTTTATTCTTATTTGATTTCTCTGATACGTATGTATGACTTAGCATGCCATCTGATTGAGTGTCATATATAATATGTGCTTGTATTACCTAAGCAGACATATAAGCATGAATAGCATTTGTGCCATGAGATATGCTGCTGCATGGTTATTCTTGTCTTTGCTTGCCAATCCTAGGCTTTTGCTTATCCAAGAGAAGGAACAGTTACTCCAGGAATTGCGTAGTACTAACATCACTGGTTGGAATGAGAATGCAGTTGCCTCCATTCAGGAGCATATATGTAAATTACAAGAAGATATATGCAATGCTAAGGAGATTTCGCATAAAACAATTGCAGATCGGTAAGAATTTGTGGTTGTGTTAAAGGAAAAGAAAATTTTGATCAAAACCTTCTTAAGATGACTTTCTTTAGTATTTATATAAAAAATTTTATGTAATTATCATCTTAGTAATATTGTCTTTAAGTAAGCTTTTTGTTTTTGTAGCTTTTGAGATGTATTCTTGTATGGTCTCATAATTTATGTAAGTACGTTTATCATTTAAGATAAAACATACATTACCTCTGCATTTACGGATATCGTCATTTTTGCCTACGTTTTAACCATCATGTAACTATGAAACTAAACATACTATAACTTTTAATGAATCTTTATGAAATTTGACAATCTTTCTGTAAATAATACAAATCTTTCGAACAAAAAAAATCAAGATTTTTAGTTCAGTATTCTAACTAAAGAGTTGTTTGTGAAAGTATGGAGTCATAGTCTGACTCAGACTTTGATTAGACTATAAAATTGTTTTCCTTTTTAAAATTAAAAATAGTTTTTTTCCATTTTACAGTTTCAACTTTCATTTGCATAATCTCTGGAATATCCCAAATAAATATCAAAAGTTTTTTCAGTAAAACTATTTTATCTGTTATTTTCTCTAGCTTGACACTATACAGGCTCGGCCCATTTTACTGTACTTGTAGCCACAACAGAAAATATAAACTAAATCTAAATTACTTTCTTCTTTCTCCAAGGACTGTGCATTGTAACTGAAAATTACAATTATTTATCCTAACTAGCCTTAGGCTTACAACAGTTTACATCTGTTTTTATGTAATCTTTTTGTTTTATTGCTCTTTAAACTGCGTCTAACTGCTAGACATCAGGCTAACAAGTTGCTGAAGTTATGATAAAACAAAGTATTGAATTACATAACGCACATGTAACTCGTATGTGTACCTTGATGATAAATTTGTTTATATTTTCATCTATGTTTTATTTAATCTAGTAAGTTTGTAATTTTTATGTAATTTAGTTACTTTTATAACAATAAATAAAATGGGCTTAAAAACAAGAAATTTAACACTTACGTATGGGTGTTGTAAAAAAAAAAGTACAAGACCCATACATAAGTATTAAATATCTTGAATTAAAGTTGACCCTAATTTTTGCTAAGGTTGTTGTTAGCCTTTTAGTGAATTTTTATTTATTTCAAATATTCAGTTTAGAACACAAAATATTAACATGCATAAAGCATACAGTGTCCTATAAGTATTATAATTTGACTTCTAGCTAAGCTATAACTACATTAAAATAATTCCTTTATCTGGTTGAACTGAACTTGGCGATAGTAACTTTGAAACTATATGCCAAGTAATTCAAAAGTTGGAGCTAGCAGTATATGTAAGTCAACAAATTGGAATCTTCTCTCTCTGTTGGTTACAAACAATATGATAGCAAACACCAAAGAGAATTATTTTCAACAGGCAATATGTGATGGGAGTGTGTGGTGGGACTTTCTGGTTTATATCTAATGGAAAATGATTGGAGGATATAAAGTTAGATTATATCTATACTATAAGTTTGTAGTTTGCATTATAAAGTTCAAATAGGGGTGAAAAGATTATCTAAAATGTGCAATTCAGAGCAAACAAGTGTTGCGTGATACAGAAAAGTGTAGATTATGAATTTGTTTTAATACATCCTTTTGAAATTAAGAAACAAAAAGTTATATAATGTTAAATTTGATATATTAACTACATTTGGATGGCAAGTGTATTCATATAAAGTAATTTAATTAAATTTTATATTAGTTTGAAATGAGTCCAGTTCTGGAAATAGTGAACAGAAATTGTGAAAGATATGTTTGAGTTATACATTTGTATGAATTTGTGTATAATATGATGTGCTATTGTTCTCAGATACATGGTTCATGTTCTGTTGCTGCAAAAATGCCCTTTGCATGTTGGGACTGTGGATGTGCTTTAACAGTCCAATTCCCACTATTTTGAGTAGCCCAAAAATTGGCGGTGGGTACTGCTGTCTTATTTCCATATGTTCAAAATTAGTGATGGCTGTGTGGTTAATAGCTCTTGGTTTAGATTTGTAGGAAAATTCTAAACCAAACAAAAAAAGTCTGTTTTTACTTTATGCAGTTGTGTAATTGAATATAGATTAATATTTTCATGTGTAGTTATGAAATCGTAAGATGGATTTGATAGCTTTTGAAAATAATTGCTTGCACACATGACACGTTATTTCTGTTGGTAGGTTGAAACTTCATGAAAAGAAGAATTTTTTCATTCAGGAGTTGAGTAATGCTATACAACAAATAACATTTTTAGAAACCAAGCTTAAAAAGTAAGTACATTTTGTTAAGTATTTATTGAGTATAAAATGTAACTTCAAGAATATATTCTTTATGCATTATGTTCATTTCGTTTGGTCCTGGTTGTTCTTCATATTATTTGGTCTCTAGATTAAATAATATTTTTTAAGCTAGAAGTTTAGGTTATGTTATATAAATAATAGGTAAATGTATGTAATCATTTTACTTACAAAAGTATTTTGGAAATAATATGCACCTGTACATTGTATACATATGGCATTAGTCTCAAAGAATCTAGAGCAGTGATATTACTATTAAAGAACTTAACTATTGAATGACCATTTAAATGGGTGCATTTGACCAGTTTAGAAAGTTTTCACAATAAAAAAATTTGGGGCTTAAACAAATGAAAAACAAATTAAGTTGTTTTGTAACATTTTTTACTGCAAGAAATAGTATAGTTTATATGTTGAATATAAATAAGTATTTTGATTTCTTCTTGTGTTACTTTTTCTGTTCTACAGCTTGTCTGCAAGTACTTTGTCCATGTCATCCAGTAGTTCCCTTGGTTCACTCAGTACCAGTTCACTGTCTGCAAGTAGTCTTAGTTTCACTGATATCTATGGACTTCCGAAATGCTCTGTTGATCTGTCAGTACAATGTCACATTGGGCAATTGATGCAAGGAAGTAGCCAGAGCATTGCTTCATCTACAGGAGCATTTGAAGTATTGTCCTCTTCCCCACCACTTGGTCAAGGTAACAGTGGACCCTCTCTTTCTACACGTTCTTCTCTCTCTTCAATATCGCCCCCTATGTCTCCTTATGAACCTCATCCTAACTGTGACCATGCATCTGCTCTTGCTGAAAGACAGCAGAGATTAAAGATTCTTGAAAGCCAGTTGGCCGAGTTGAGATTAGAATCTTCATCAGTAGAATCTCTTAAACCTAGTACCTCTCAGTTAAGATCCCATCAAATACCTGAAGACTCTATGAGAAGAAATCATAATTGGTCATATTACTCTGTGCCTCAACAGAATGTAGAAGGAACAAGCGAGAGCACTATTAGTTATCCTGTCTGTGAACCAGAAATGGGAAGGTTCAACATACAGTGTAGTGAACCAAATAGTCATGCTAGTGTTTCAGCTGCTGTAAGTGAAGAATCTGTAGCAGGGGATAGCGGTGTGTTTGAAGCATCAGTAAAGAGGTAATTACAAGAAATTTTAAGTTTTAGTTTAGAAGCTGTATTTTAATTGATAGGGATGTGTGTGTGTATGTTAGGTAAAAATATTGTTTGTGTTGCATCAATTGTTAGAGCTTTTTGTTTCTTTTATCAGTTTAATAAATAACTCTAATATGAAAATTATTTTGTAAATAACAGTTCACGAATTACTAGAATGTTTATTCCAGGATTTATTTTGTTACATTATAAGTTAAAATCCAAAAGGGTTAACTTCACCATTAATGTTGATGGTATAAGTAGCTTCTTGACCACTAATATGTCTGTTATTTCTCAGCTGGCCAGCCTGATGTTCACTGGTATTGGGCAAAAGATTTCTTTAGTAGTGGATATAGTGATAAAGTGTGGTTGACATATTATTGCATTTTTTTTAATGCACTCATAAGTTCTAATAATCATTATTTAAAAATCTTACATTTCACTTGACTCAGTATATTTTTGGGGAAAGAAAATTAAACATATGATAGTTATAACTTCTAAATCTCCCCATTTCTCTTTTAGGCTTCAAGTAGACAAACACATAAAAGAGCATAGTATAGAAACAGCCCAAGTTCAGTTGAAACTAAGGTTAGTTTATACTTTGTAACTAACTGAATATTTATAACAGAAAAGTGTTTTATGGCTTATATATATGTTGTTTTAGTTTATTCATTATTTTCCTTGTTTTTTTGAGAATTTATATTGATTGCCATCTCCAATATATTATGTATGACCTATAAAAATGCTTAACATATGTTAAACATATGATTGATATTAATATATTTTATCCTGTTAAAATATTTTAAATGAAAATAAAATTTTATTTCTGATTTAAAAATGTCTAGGTTTTAGTTCTGGGAAAAATGCTGTCGTTAATGAGATTAATATTGTACCAAAAAATGTGTACTGTTTTTATTGGTGGTTGTTAAAGGTGTTGCTTTTATGAAGTTGCATACTCTATACCCAAATAAAAGTTGTATGTTTTATGTATTTATCTTTTTTACATCTCTTTTGCAGGTATGCAATAGAGGATCATTTGCTACATGTAGGAATTGAACGAGCAAGAAACCTTTCAGAACTGAACATCCACGCAAACCACAAGATGTTAGTATAGAGCTGTAGAAAATTTAATTTTCCTGTACTTTATCAAAGTAAAATAAATATATATGGTTAATTGTTTTTTTTATGAAAAAAATTGACATCTCTTTGATTTGATTTCCATGCTTGAGAAGTTCAGCACTGTTTTCCCTACAAACATGGAATCCTATTGTAGCAGATTTGTTGGTGTACAATCCATGTAGTGGTGCTATTTCTGAACCACTGACCACAGAAGGCAACTTGCTGGTGGCAGTTTCTTTTATTTTTTACTTTATCATTACTTATTACTCTGAATCTGTTTTTTTTTTCTAACGTCACGTATCCAATACTTGGCACAGGCTTTCCTCCCTCTAACAATCTCCTCCAGTTTCTTCTAGTAATAATTCTGAATTCAATTGATATAAATAGTTTCTGTCCTTTCCACTTTTTCGATAACAAAGGGGACATTTTCCAAAGCAAAATTTCTACCGTTTTTAATTTACATGGTATTTTATACATTAAATATTCTTTGTTAAGTGTTGTATGAATCTAATATAATATGCATTAAATGTTATAATAGTAAGATCTATTTTATATGTTAAATAGTTAGGGAAAAATACAAAATGTGGAAGTATGTGTGTGCATTGCTAGGCTTAATGTTGCCACTTTAAGCCCTAGCTGTATCTACAGTTATAAGAAAGAACCTAGAAACCTATTTTTTGAGTGATTCAAGAACTGTTTTACAAAGGAATAAATTAAACATAGAAAACAATAAAAACTCGTGCACAAATGTGTACAATAAAATCAAAAATATTTATTATGTATGCGTATAGATGCAAAAAATATTGTGCTGAGGATTTTCTTCAACTGTTGTCCAGTTTCTAAGTGCATTTTAAAGATTTCCTCTAGCTGTTGGAGCTGGAGAGTGATGAAATACCTATCTGAGATGAAGAATGGAACAAGATACTTGATATATAGCACTCATAAGTCGGAGACAAGGTTCCTAGTCTCTCATCCAACAATCATAGATAATCTATGTCACCAGTTATTCCTATTATTGACCTACATAATCGGGAAGGGGGGGGGGGTAACTCTAGGCTGATAATAACTTGTACAAATCTCTATCATTCCTCAGTTGAGTACAACCCACACTCCAAGGGAGTAATGATGCAGAAACAGAATCAAGCTAATGACCATTTTGGTATGTAACCTAAACAGAGCACATATATAATAGAAAAACTTATTTACTGATCAAGAACATTCTTATCAAAATTATTATTACCTAATCTGACGTAGGGAATGGTGGCATCATTTCAAAACGTCAGGTCCCAGGTCAGCAGAAAATCTGTGTCAGTTTTTGGCATCATTTTACTATTTACTGCCAGAAGTGATGATTATAGCAATAGACAAGATAAAGTATCAAAAATAATTATTGTTGTTGAATAAATATGACGTGTGTGACCTCAATAAAAGTTTATTTCACTCGAGTTCAGAAGTTTCTAGAACATTTTCACTTTTTTCTATACACAATATTTTACAACAGGTTATTGAAGTAATAAATTTTGTATAATTGATTTTTGCATGATTTAGATTTGTTTAAATGTTATTCTAAAAATTTTCACATTATCTTTTAAAATAACTATTGATATGTCTGTTTTATCAATTAAATTTCAGCCTCACTTCTCAAACATAAGCCGTATAAAATATCCAGACTAGACAGTTCTCATTCATTAGGATTAATCCAAACCTTTACAACACTGATATTAATCTCAGGGGTAATATTATAAATTATGTATGAAAATATTTTTAAGTTGATAGGGAAGTGATACATTATTAAACTGGGAATCTAGTTTACAAATTGTAATTTAATTTTAAACTAGTAAATTAATTCTGGTAATAAACATAACAAAAAACTGCTCCAAGTTAAATACATTTTTTACATTTTATCCCCACTTCACTTACTGAAATCTCAGTGATTTTTAATAAAATACTTGAATGTTTTTCTCAAATTGGAACTTTCTCTGAGACTGCATTCTTTGTTGAAGTTTGTATGATATTTTACCATTTAAAAGTTTTGAATTATAAATACATCAATTGTTCTAGATTGCAAGTTGATGGTCAAATTGTTAATGTATTACGTGATCAATATAATCATCAGAATCAGAAAGTAATGCTGTCTGTTGCTTCAGGAAGGGTTTACTAAGTGATTCAAATGGCATAGTTTTTAAAAACATAGTTTACGTAGTTATAAACTGAACTCTTATTTACCATTACATGTTTTATGTGTTTCAAGCAATTTCGTTTTCTTTAGTGATAGTTTTACATTTTATTTTAGTATGCCTCCTGCTTAATATGTAATGGTATGATGTCATGAAGACACAAATGGTATTATTTTAATGAAAATAATACCTACAGTTGATTTTATGAACAAAAGATAATTTTAGAACAGTTTTAACAGCAAATTTAGAAGTATACTAAATTTGGTTTTATTTATTGTTTGTAAAGCTGGATATTATGGTGAATGTTTCTCTGGAATGTGAGTTTCACATTAAATTCTTCCCATCAGATGGGCCCTACCCCTAAATTCTTGGTGTGACTTACTAATTGTAGTGATAATCATATTTAATCATCTTCAACACTGGAATGGATGTTTCATTAACTTTCCTAAATAAAATAATCTGAAACTAGCATTATTATTGCAACACTGTTTTAACGTAGAATAGCCCATTATAAGGCTTTTTGCCATATTGTTAGATTTTATTCATATATCGAGGATTTTAGTGCTGTTCCTTGTTTTTAGAATTTGTACTGTGCTTTAACTATTTGTATAATAAACGTAGTGGACTTGTTATGATTCCTAACTAACCCTGTACTTGGTTATCATTACCCCAGTGTCTTTCAAAATTAAAAGATGAATTGACAAGGCTGCAACCTTCATCCTCAGACATCACATCCTTAAGCATCCCACCAGAAAAACTGAATACTGCATCTCAGACTGATCTGTCAGGAGAGGTATTGAATGTTTCTTTATTTTTAACGATAATCAGTCATGTAGCATGGAATCAGTTCTGCATAAGAAGTTGTATTTAAGCTATAAAAACTGTAAAATTTGTGAAAGATATATCTGTACTTGATCAAGCATTGTACTTTGTTATTATGGTAGTGGTCTTTCTTCTTTCCATCTTGAAAGTATTGTCTAAACTTCTAGCAATATTTCCCTGTATATATGTATATGATAAAACAAATTAACCCAAATGTATATATTAGATATACAATTTCCATGAGTAGTACTCATTTGTTATTATTTATTTACATTATTTGTTTTAAATAAGTCATTAGAATTACATAGGTTTATTGAAATTGCTTTTTATTGTTAGTTAATTTATGTACAAAGCATTTTCTGGGTATCAAAGCACACTTGCATATGAAAGTTCAAAATTTAAGTAAAATTCATAATTCTGGCTAATTATATAATTTTTAGTTCAAAAATGTTTTAAAAATAGTATTTTTTGTAATTTTTCAAAGTTTTTTTGGTTTAAATTCTGTGGGAAAATTTAGAATATAGTGTTTCCAACTTTAATTTTTACTGAGCCCTACTGTCTTCCACATATCTGTTATATATATGTATAGTGAGAATTCTTCTGCTCATTCCAAGGCATAGGCTTATGTTTGCTAAGAACATATCATTACTTCAGAATATAATTATCCGTGTTTCTACTCTGTTAATGGTTTTATGACTACAGACCTTTGTTCTTTTAGGAACTTACAGTAATCTGAATAATTACTAATAAAGGAGAGGTTTGAAAATAGCTTCTGATGCAACATTTGATAGAGCAGGTTAAGCTAGGCTTAAAAATATTTCTGTTTTCTGTAACCCAACTGATCATCTGAAATTAGGGTTGACTAAGAGATTTTTTGGCATTACGACCTGGGAAATATTTATTTTCACCAATTTCTGTTGATATGCTGGTCCATCTAACAAAATTTGCCAATATTAAAATATTTATCTTTGTATTATAGTTAGAATATTTTTTCTTGGAAATTCATGTAATCTGCAACAATGTGGGAGGACATCACTTGATTAACAATTGACAGCTCAATGCTGATTGGCCAGTGCACTGAAGTTTGACAACATGGCTTATCTTGTCCCCAGGACCCTTCATGCTAAACTCATAAATACAGGACCTAGCAGGGGAGAATTTACTATTGATGAGTGTACACGAACAACATGGCGAACACAAGTCTGTTCAGTGTATCCGTCTCCTGAAAATGTTTTTGTAGATTTAGGATTAGGATAAAAAACAAATTTAATTCCAATTGGAAACTTATCCACATGGAGGGAAGTACTAGTAGATTTACTTGGTAAATGAGATGAAACAGAAGAAGAAGCCGTAAAATTGTCGGCAACAGTCACTTCAATTTAATCGATCAAGGTTGATATTGACCAGCAAGTATGTGTTGTGTAATTTTCTTCATAGAATAAATGTTGATGATAATTGCATTCATGGTTTAATGTGTTATGTTTTAGGTGATCTTATAACTAGTGGTATATCTGAATTTTTTTTTGACATGAAATTAAAAAAAAATTACCTTGCTATCTACCTACATTTTAAATCAATTTAGGGTTAGAGAAAACAAAAATATTTTAAAGTCTGGCCTTATCAACTTTTCACATCAATGAGGAGTAAATAAATTGGCTTGAGCAGTAATTTAGTGTGTCAATTTATTGACTAGCCAAAGCTCCTGTGGGGTTGAACAAAGGAATCTAGTGGGACGATCACAGATCTGGAAATTTTATATAGTTTTTTAGATGTTCTTTTCATTCCTAAAAAATATATCTTGGTTAAATTATGCATGTTTGAAAGCTATTAAAATTTTCAGCTATGACAATACATCAAGTAAGCTTAGTTAGGTTTAACAAATTTGGTAGGCAAAGAGAAGATGTTCCAATAACTCAAATTCTTATTTGTTGAATATTATTTTTTAAGTTTATTGTATTCAATTTTATTTATACTTTAATAGTATATTGCCAGTAGATAAAACTGATACATTGTGTGCTTGTACTTCATATATTCAGTAAGATTTGTATCAGTGATTGCAGTATCTATTTTAGTGCATGTATGACCCCTAGTTTGTTTTGTTTTTTGTGTGTGAAGGAATGAGATTAATAGAGATCTGTCGATTTAGTTCAAACTAAAGATGAAAAACAACTTCTCTTTCTGGATAAATCCAAGCAATAAAAGACAACTAAAATGTAGTCAAAGAACTATATGGGAAACCAACACACACTGATCAGTATTTGAATTTTTCTGCAATATTACATAAGAAAAATATGACCACGTCTTGTCTGATCAGCTTTTCTGTTTTATGAACCTATGTTCTTGTTTGTTGAATTTTATTGATCTTCTAATGTTTTTACCAAGATGGTTATTCATGATCATTTGTCAGCAAACAAATAAAACTGCTAAGGGATGCCCGAACAATCTGCATGCAAGTCGAGAGAGAGCAGTAATAGGACACCTATTGCCATTCTACCCTTTCTTCTGGAGCCTCTGTGTTGTGTATAACAAAATCAAGACATAAGCAAAATTTCAAATCCAGTACTAAAACATGAACCAAAAATGTTACTTATAGTAAGAAATGCAAATATTAGAAAGCAATACATTTGACAAACGAGTGTAGATTTTCAGGTTCTCGAGAATTAAGGGATGGCTATATATGAAACCTTTAATAATGATGTGACAGAATCATCAGTTAGGCTACAAAGAAGAGATTGAATAGAATGACATAGAGGTTAATAACAAAGAAATCTAACTACACCTGAAGAGATATAAAATAAACTTTATACATAGAAAGAAAAAAAAAATTTTAGACCAGGAACTTGAATGTTGACTTTCAAAACAAGAAATAAAAAATATTTGTTACTCTTAATTTTGTTTTTATTTACTCTTGAAACAGAACACTTTCTGGGACCCTGCGGAAGTACATCTAGTATATAGAGACAGTATTGACATATTTGTCAATTGCAGCATAGCTGAACAAGACAGGTTTAAGGCTAACCTGTCTATGATGGTGTGAGGAGCATCTGCTATGATAGATGCACTGATCTATTCATAATTATGAAATGCTTTTTAATTGCTTTCTGTTATAGAAA